AAGGAACTTGATTATCTACACAGATTATCTGAATGCAGTAATGTCATTAATAGATCATACTAATAGCTTGCATTCCATAATTACTGGCATTTGAAGCTCACTCAAAATGTCAGGGATATCAGATTAGCTAGTTCTGGATCCCTGTATATGTGGGTATAAAAGGGAATGAACTAACAGATATTACAGCTAAGTCTACTACTACAGTGGCCAAACATTAGGTCCCTCTTGTAGATAACAGGGCATTGATCAAGTGAAAAATTCTCAATAAATGGCAGAGGCATTGAGAACATCAAGCAAAAAATAAGCTAAGAAGTGTTAAACTCGTATAGAGTGCTGATCATCAGTGCTAAATGGAAGAGAAATAGTTCTCTTAACACGATTGAGAATCTGTCTCTGTCGACTGACTCGTGAGCATCTTCTGAAAGGTGAAAGCAATCCATTTTGTGAAAATTTCACTAGCATCCTGATGATCTACCATATTTTAATGGATTGGCAGTCTTTTAAATATTTTCACCTTTTAGCTTTTTCATTTGTTTTTCTAACCTGTGCATTTTTTTAGTTGCTCATATCTTTCATGGTTTTACCTTACCATTGGTGTTTTTTTGTTTTCCACAGTTCTGTCAATATTTCTGTTTTACTTTTGTAATCTATGATGTAGTCTTTACACCAGGTATTGCAGCACAAACATGATTGGAAGTGTGGTGGATGGCAAACAGATTAAGGTTTAGACAGTAGTACTGAAGTTGGATATGTTGCTCGTGACCAATATGTCAAAGAGCAGAAGGGAATTTGATGGCTCATATTCAAAAGTTAATTGAATAACAGGACCAATAGAATTTATTATTGAAAGAAATTTAATTAAATCAGCATTATTGCTGTCATAAAGTAATAGCATTGTCAGCGGAAAACTAGGAAGCTTACAGGGAAGATTAGTGTGAGCATTGTACAAAGAGAAAAACCACAGAAGAAATCACCATCTGCCTAGAAGCCTGTATGTGTCAGTATTAAAGTTTTTGTCAGCCTAGGATTCTATAATGCAATTTTAAGCAACCGCATTAACAAGCTTCAATGCCTACAGAACTTCAGCATTTTTACTAAGAACTTCCATCATTATATAAATGCCACGTTCCTGTATACCAATGTTGGTATTTGTGTGCCGGCCATTAACCCTTTGAAGGGCACCGTGTCAATTTTTTAACCTCCGAAAAAATGCTAATTTTTCTACACCAAAAGCTATAATCTTAAGTGTCTAGTGTTTCCTTTCAATTCTAAATGGTAGCATCACCCTATGAATGTTCAATATTTTGCAGTTATGAAATTAATATACCTCTTTGCAAGGTATCGTGTTGGAAGATTGATAAATTCTATTGGAGGGAAAGAAAAATTCAAAATCTGCAAATATATGACGTACACATGCTGAATCTTATATATTTACTTCATTTTTGTCAGAAATGATAATTAACAGAAGATTATTTATACGATTTTAAAACCGGTATATACTATATACCGGCGCCCACACTGAGGGTACCACGCCAATAGATGGCAGCACCAGTCTTCTCCTTTTATACTCTGTGACATGACAGAATTTCTTTATTATTATAACAGTTTATGATATAATAATTTTTCATGATTAATTTAGAAATTGTTTAGGATTCAATATTATGTTCATGGAGGAATGAGGAGTTTATTGACTCTGCTCTAGGACTGAATACAAGTATATTAGTTTTATTTATTCTTTGTGTACTCAGCTCGAGTTTCATTCGTCTGTGTTTAGCTAAAATTTTTATTTCAGCACTTACCTCTTTCCCAAGAGAAAGACTCATCGATTACAATATTGCCATCTGGGTCAAAACTTTACACAATTGTATGGGTTAAATGTGGCATGTTAGCCTCCAAAAGACACCCGTTGCTTCGTGATTTCCAAAATTCTAGAATGCAAGGAAAATGAAAGAGGTGATTGACAACTAATTTGTCATTCGGGAGTCGCGCCTTCTTCCTTTGTGAGGTGTGATAAGATCACACAAAGGCAAAGCTCACTTAAAATGGAAATTTACTTAAGGTCTATCTCATAGCATAATCACAAAAACTGCTGGTTTGAAAGCATGCTTTTATTCTTTAGGGAAATTCTTTGTTAATTTCAGATGAAAGACTAGAGAACACGAGAGAAATCTGCGCTCTGGTTGATACAAATAGGTTGTTTCTGAAATAAATTTTGACAGTTGGTGAAAGGAGGAAAAATATTTCTAAGGCCTGTTTTTAGATGCAAACTAAAATTTATCCAAAAGTTGAAAAGGAGCCCCTATGAAGCCAAAGGGGTTGAAAATCAGAATAAGAGCTTTGAGGTGTATCAAAAAATAGAATTGTTTAACAGCGTTTCTTTCTGAACAAAAAGATACATTACAAGCTATATTTACAAAAAATAAAAAAAGGGACCCTTGCGGTCCTTGATGATCTTAAGTGTGTGTGCGTCGAGGGGGGGGGGCGATTCTTCATATCATAATATGAAGCATGGTTGTTTTTTCACATATTATCTAAAGTATGAAATACAACTTCAAAAATGCAACATACTTTCTCAGCTGAGTCGGCCGTAGTGCTTCATTTTTCAATTTTTTTAATTTTCGGCTGAGTTACATCTGCTTGTAATATTATACTAGTTCAGTTACAGCATGATACGATTTACACTGCAGTGTTATATTTGCTAATTTTTTTATAAAATAATATTTATTGAATTTATATCAAGTTGAAAAGCATTTTACCCATATTTTACATAAGTATGTTCAACTGGGTTGCGTCATCAAAGTGCATAAAAAGACATAAATTTTATTTTTGAAATTCTAAATTTCTGCCAAAATATTTTTAAAAAAATTGTCTTTAGACTTACATAACTATATTCAAGCACTCACCACTACAGACGCACATTAAAAGTACCCAAAATTAATTTTAAAACAAAGATTAACAGTTGGCAGCTACCTGGAAAAAAGTGTCCTAGAGGGGTGCCGGTATAAAATATATACCGGCTCTCAAAATTCGGGATTTCGCTCTAGATTTTTTTTAAATCTCAATTTTGTGTCCTTAGGGTCCATAAGTTATAGTTCATGCAAAATTTTACCATAGTTTAAATTGTTTTATATACCGCCCCTCAAAGGGTTAAAACCATGGAGGTAGGAAGTAAGATGGAGTAGCCCTAAACAGGTTTCTCCCGTACCCTGCTCTGAAGCACCGGCGATCCTTACATGGTGACCAGAACATTGGGTCATTTACCATTAAGTTCAATGGGTTTTGATGCGATCGGATGTAAATATTTTGTAATTACGTCGTAAATATGCATATAAATGTACATATTTTCTTTTTTTACAACACTTCAGAGTTCTAAGTATATGAAAACCACATATTTTTAAACGTTTCATTCTGAACGGAATTAAATGCTATACTTTTCACAGAACAGTTTTCTCAGAATGGTTTAATTTGAATGAAATATTTTCACAAGTTTTCGTTAATTACATTAGAAAAAAAAATCTAAGGTAATTCATTTTTATTCGGTTAAGGTACAAAATTAAGATCAAAGTTTATTGTATTATTAACATTAAAATTATGCATTATTTCTTTTCTATTTATAGAGCTTCTTCCTAAAATACTTTCTTAAATATGACATGATTTTTTGGCTTCTGAGGCATCTTTTAAATCGAAAAATATAAGTAAATTTATAATTAATGCTCTATTCAGTTCATTTTAAATTAGAGAATTATAAGAAATTAGTGAAATACTTTAAATAGTACTTAACTTCCTCTGAACATTTCTGAAAGGGAATAAAATAAGGATTTTATTTTTAATCAACCCAAATAAGTAAAACGTGTAAGCCCAAAGTGATTATTTTTCAGATATATAAAATTAAAACGATGAGTTTAAAATGAGCAGCAGTAAAGCCTCTCCTCTAAAAAATTTTAAAAGGTACATTTTACAATAATATATGGATGTGAAAAAAAATTATTTTATTTAAATTATTCTGGCATTTGAAACATAAAATAAAAGTAGCGAATACTCTATCAAGGGTATCGAAAGACGTATACAATTTTAAAGGTACCGTAAGGTATTTTTCATTCTTTAAGCATAACATTTTTGTTAAAATCTTTATTTTTGTAGTTCAACAGCTTAGAATTTTATAAAACAAATTCATAATCAAAATCGATGTTGTTAGTTATCGAAAAATAACCAAGATGTGATTTTCACGTAAATGTCACTAAACTATACAAATCCATCACACTATGAATGTTTCTTTCATGCGAAAGTGTCCCTTTTTCGATTTGTATGGAACTGTTGTGTGTTGAAATACTATCAGAATACTGTCAAGCGAGCTTCTGAATGTAAACAAAGAACACCCCATCTGGTGACCGAAGCTTCCAAGCAGTGCTTCACTTCTAGTGCCGGTTGGCCACTCCTTCCTTTCTGACCTCCATGATTCAAACTTGCCAGAGTTGGACAGCTTTAGGAAAAAATAAATTACCATTATAGGTTTAATTTTTATGTTTTTCTAATAATATGCTGGATGTGTGAAAAATTTAGCAAAATGAGAGGACCATTATTGTTCGCTCTGCTCTGCATGTTTCTCTTGGATTGAAGTGAAGTTGGTCTATTTTGCACTTCAACTGCTAATAGATTCATATTCTATCATATTCTCATTCATATCCAGTTATATTCTCTTCAAGACATAGTTTTTCTCATTTAGCGTATTAAGCAGCCCACACACACAAGGAACCACATAAGCAAAATCATAATGTATCGACACATTTCTCAAAAACTATTTTGCTCCTGAATGACCTATGTACGATTCCCCTCTGAGCCAATAAAGTTTTCTTCCAAACCTGTGCCAAAATAAGGTTACTTTTTGCCTAATTTTTTACTTTCATTTATTAATATAAATTTGTTTAAATAGAATACAGGGAATGATATATATTTGACTTAAAAGAATATGAGCTGTGAATTTTTTATTTTAGTAAGTCTAGTATACTATTCTGTGTAATGTGATTTCATATTATTTTTCAGATCCTCTTTTGAAAAAATCGCCTGAAGGCTGGATTAAGCTAGTGGATGACGACAGTTTGAAGCTCCTAGAAAATAAAATCGCAGCAAGCGAAAGTAAATTGGAGGAGCTTATGAATAAAGTCAGAGAGAGTGAAAATAAATTGGAGCAGCTTACAAATAAAGTCAAAGCGAGTGAAAAAAAACTTGAGCAATTAGAAAGCCTTGCAAGCAGAATCCTAGAAAATGAAATAAAAATTGAGGTGTTAGAAAGTCTTGCAAATAATGACAAAGCAAGTGAAAAAAAAATTAAGCAGTTAGAAACCCTTTCATATAAAGTGGCAGCCAGCGAGAGCAAACTCTCATATTTGGAAAAGTTTCTAAAAAGTCTGAGGGAGGATCATAATGCTTCAGTTCAAAAGGTGAGATCTTTATGTATATAGGTATTCTTTTATTATTCATTGAATAATAATTTTAATTTCAGTGATGGGAAATGAATCTTAATAGATGCAAGGAGAAAGGATTAAAAAGTTTTAAGAGCATCATTTCATTCTTTGAATGAGTGCAATAAACATAGGAATAAAAATCCTAGCTAATAGTATATTCTATCAACTGAAAATTTTTTTATTAAAAGGTTTTGTCATGTTTTAATATGGAGGGAACCAAATGTTTAAAATCGTTTTGTTGAGGTAATGTGGTTCCAGGTTGCATCATAACACACTAGAAAGCAGTATCAAGATAATTATTAGAGGCTTGCTAAAACTTCAGAGGAGAATTTTGCTGTGCTTTTTATGCAGGCAGTGACAGACTACTAGGAGGGAGTTTTTTTGAAAGCGAGGCCATCTAAAGAAAACTTGACTGCAAAATTTTGAAGATTTAAATTTGACACTGAATTTTTAAGAAATTCTGAGGAAGTGTCACAAATTTTCAGCCTCATGCAGGAATCCTTAAAAGCTGCTGTAGTGTACAACTAGAACTCATTTCCTAATGTTTAATTAATAATTTAATTTTTAACAGGGTCGTTATATTGCCACTCTTAAGATTAGTAATATTTACTAATTATTTAGTTTTTGAATTCATTAAATTAAAAAATTTTAAGTTTTTAAATGTTTGCTTTTTACATGCTTCTCACTCCTTTCTAAATATTTAACTATAAATTTTATATTTAATTTTTGCATGGATATGTAACTCATTCTTGATTATGATATCATAAAGTAAAGAGATATTTATTGGCTTGCCCAAATGTTATTCTATTTTATTGAATAGTTTTTGAACAAATCGTAGTGTGAATTCTTGTGGATATCACCTTATGTTGCGGATAGAGTGGCACGAGAATATATAGCATTATTTCACATTTTTTTCCTATAACTTTTACAGTTATGTGAAACAAGACGTACGACTTTTAGACACAGATAATTTAAAGTTTTTAATACAGTGTTCGATCTGTGGAGTACATGTTTGTTAATTTTTGCTTCCTTAGCAACTTTCAAATTTTTAGCAGCTATGCTAGAAATCCTTTGGAGAGTGAGGTTTAACATTGTACAAATATGTGGAAGGACGGAATAGGAAAAATATTGTGGTTGTAGATTTGGAAGTTTTAAAACTTATTTTCCATAAATTTTACAAAAGTCAGTAGTGGAAAATATTCTTTTGGAAACCATAAGCATGCTTTATGTAACATCACTTCATTTCATAAATTTATTAAGATATGAAAACATTGAATGTTTATTTATTGTTTGTCTTCATCATTTTTAATTAAGATTTTTGTTCCACATCTCTGCCCACTAATGACTGAATTGATTGCTGAATGTAGTAATTCGACTGGGATTCAAATCCCAGTAAACGGGCAGGCTACATAGGAGTTTTCATGGTTTTTCCATGTGTAGGCTGACTTTAAGGCATTTTGCCTCACAATGTTCTCCTTGGAGGCACTCTTAGGCAGATATCCTTCATGTGCTTTGCCTTAATTAGTTAACCTAACCTTATTCTGCCCTGCATTTTCTATCTGGTAATTGATTCTAATTTATCATGTTTGATTTATTTTACTGAGAGTAGTGATGTACGCAAGGGTATCTGCCAGGTAGGAGGGATACTTTCATGGATGAGTTTTGAAGGCAAACTTGCTCATAGCTATGTTATACTTGAACAAGTATACCAAGACTCCCATGCAGCCTGTCCATTCACCAGGATTTGAATCCTAGTCAAACAACCAGAGCTCAGTGACCTTTACTTTTACTGTTGCTGATGGCTGAATAAAGTGCTTGACTGTTGATTTCTGTTCTGAGTAAAGTAATAAACTACTTAATAAAATATGAATTGTAATTAAGTTTTGTTTCCAACTTGAATGCATTTTAAAATAAGAGAAAATTAAAGTGTTTTATAATCTGTTTTGGTTGGTAAGTCATTGTGTTTTAAATTTATAAAATTGCTTATTCATCATAATGATTCTAAGTGTTAATGCATGCTTAATCTGCCAAGGTGGAATCTGAGTAAATTTTATCATTAATGTCCAATGAGAATCTAAAAATTGTAATTGAGGTTCTGCATTATAAAATGATATTTATCAGTTGTTAAAAAATATCTAAGACACTGAATTGCAGAAAGCTAAATTAGAAGCATTTAATTATGTGAACTGTAAGATTAAATGGGATCATAATAAGTATTTAATATTGATTAGTTTCTGTGTACTGATGAAATAGTTACAGATTTAAATATCTTTCAATATTTTGTTACACTGCTAGGGTTTTTATCATCCATGATCATAATAAATATTTAGCATTGATTAGTTTTCATGTACTGATGAAATAGTTACAGATTTAAATATCTTTCGATATTTTGTTATACTGCTAGATTTATCATTCATGCAGAATGGCAAATTGCTTGTTCTCAGAAGTGTTGTCATGTGGGATTCTGTGAGATCTGTATCTTTCAAATTAAGAGCACTATGCTAAATTAACTGAGTTATTTAAAGTCAGTGGGAATACTTCAGAATAATGTATAACTTTATAATAAATTGCTTAATTTATGTAATTTATAATAAATCTAATTCATGTTATTTATGAATGATTTGTGATACATTTAACTGTAATAATTTTTGTGAACATTTGCAGTATTATTATAATTAATTTAAGATCTGTCGTAAATTAATTAAAGCAGTGTATCTTGGAATACTGAGCAGATGACTGCATTTTCTAGTGTGAAACAAATGTTCTTGGCTGTATGCTTCCTCACATTCACTCCACCAACGACTGAGTAATTAAATTCCTGAACACTGAAAATCATCCCACTGAATGGGTTGACTGCATAGGAGGTTCCCCCCCCCATGAGCAATATGAATAATTTCCCTTAAAAGTCCACCACAAAAGCATCTCCCTTCTTAGGAAATTGTTCTCATGTGTTTTGCTATATTCAGATAACTTACCTAATCTAACCTCAGCATTCATTTATTAGTATTTAGTTTCCATAGCTGGTGGGTGTTAACTTACATGTAGAAAGTCTTTCGTCTTTCACTCTTGAACTCTGTTTTCTAAAAAATATAAGTGTGTTCATGTATGAATGCATAGTAGTCTCCATAAAGATTCACTCTTAATTGAAAATTTTCTCCTATACTTGATGTATTAAAATATTTTTCAGATTTGGTAAATTTTGATACTTCTGCTTTCTCTTTAGAAGCAAATATATTCAAGAGTATGTTGCAGTAGAACTTTGTTTAATCAAAACCTGGCTAAACTGAAACAGAGAAATAACAAATATTTTAGTACAAAGCATATTTCACGTTTTATGCTAAAAAATTTTCCAGTGTTTAGTGCCTTAAAAATAAACACACATTTAGTAATAACAGCAAGTGACCTTGAGATGCAGAATTTAAAAACAATAAATTGAGAAATCTGTCTCTGAGATGTTGCACAGTCTTTACTGATGAAGTGGTGATGCAATGTAGCATCTGGTAATGTTTGTGGAATACACTCAGAATAAAACTGTTATGAATTATTTTTAATATAGATGCATCATAAACGTATTTAATTTTATAATAAAAATGCTGAAAAATAGATCCCATCAGTTATTTCATATGTTATTTGAAATGTATCTTCTATCTTTAAATGAATGGAACTCAGCTGAAATTTATTTGTACTTAAAATATGTAGAGCTTTAGCATAGGTAACCAGTATAAGACTTGTTTTAGGATTATTAATAATTCCTTTATTCAGCATTTGATTAGGAGTCCTATTTAAGATTGGTGGTAATGTGAATAATTGACAGTTTCTTATTTAATTTCAGATGCAAAAATTAAACAGAACATTTTCTGTGCTGGAAAAGGAGCAAAATAAGCAGAAAAATGCAACAGAAACAAAAGTGGTGCAGGAAAACTATAATGGATTTACCGTCATAATAGACCCTCATTTGACAAAAGATATTCGCGATACAAGAAATAACTGTCCAGATCTGAAGAGAATTCAAAATAGTTGTCCAGATCTGAAGAGAATTCAAAATAGTTGTCCAGATCTGAAGAGAATTCAAAATAGTTGTCCAGATCTGAAGAGAATTCAAAATAGTTGTCCAGATCTGAAGAGAATTCAAAATAGTTGTCCAGATCTGAAGAGAATTCAAAATAGTTGTCCAGATAAAAGTGATGACAGCAGTGATAGTAGTGATATTTATGATATCTTCAAAACACAATTGAATGAACCTAAAATAAACTGCAAACTTCCAATAAAAAATGATAAGGGTGATGATGATTTTGATTTGGATAAGTTTACAAAACAACTAAACGAATATACACTAATAGTACATAATCATATAATAAACTGGAATTTAACCAACCCAACGCGTAAAATCGGTGGCGATAATGTTGGCCTGATTGATGATAATGTTTACAGGATTGATGATAATGTTTACACGATTGATGATAATGTTTACACAGTTAATGATAATGCTTCCACCATTGATGATTATGGTTCAGGTGATTCTTGCAATATGTTTAACCAACGAATATCTAAACGTAAAATTAACTGGAATTGGAAACCCATAGAAAAAAAAGTAAAATATAACTGATATAAAATTCATTCATTGTTTTATTATCAATTTTGATAGGGTCATGTAACATAAAACCTTCAGATATTCTATTTAATGAAAGAAGGATTCTGTTGCTCGCTTGCTAATGGCAGAAGAAGCAAAAATATATCTTTCTTTTTTCCCCTCAAAATTAATAGGAAATAAACCAGTGTTAGCGTAAGGTTAGATTTTTGCTTAGTTTTAACTCCGGTATAGATATATAAAAATTTTGAGGTATCTGTTATATTATCAAATCTCAGTAATCTGTGTTAAAATTGTTCTTTATAAAAATGAAAGCAAATATTTAACTTAATTAATTGTCAAATGTAATTTTTTCAAATTTTAAAAAAGAGTAATTTGTAAAATGTTTTAGGAAGGAATATTTGTTTAAAATTATTTTTGTCATACTTTTTTTCTGGATTTACAAGTTTTACAGTGGTAGTGTTTCTACCTTATTCAGTGTAGTGTATTTGTGGGTAACAGATGTCATTAATGTGGTAACATCTTAAAATGCATGCAATGTTTTCTTATTACTATCTCCATCAAAAACGTCACTCTGATTTTTCAACTAATATTTGAATTATTCCTTGTGAGAAATTTGTTTTTCTGTAATTTTTTTCAAAAATGAATATTTTAAACTATTCATGTTGTTGTTAATTGTAAACTAAGATGAGAAATGCTAATATATTTTAAGCTGTGAAAATGCCTATTTAACATTTTGTCTATGCTTTCGTTGTGCTTTTAATAATTTATAAGATAATTTTAATCCTCTTGCAATTTTCGTTTCTCAAAATGAGTAAGTTGACTATATTAAGCTGTAATTAAAATTTTGCATTATTGAAATTTATTCAGCTTTGCAAATCTGCAGCCATTTATTGCAGCAGATTCAGCAATTTATTTACAAAGCAAATCTTTAATAATATATTACATTAATCAACTTGGTTGATATTTTTAAATATAAAATTAAATGTAATTTGAAAATTAGTATCAAAATATACATTAAAAATATTTAAAAGAGCTGTGTTAGCTGTCACATTGCAAAATAGTTGCAAAGAAATCTGACTTTTGGGTGAAGTTGTTGATGCAATAATAAATTTAAAAATTTAGTGCAACATTAAAATTATGAAAAATTCAGATCTTAGATAGGTATTAAGAGAAATACTTTATGTGTTTTTTGTAAATGTATTCCATATCTCTCTTTGTTATGTCTTGGAATACCTTGCAATGTTATGACAAATTTAATCTCTCGAATTTATTATAATGTGCATTATCAATTGAAAGAGGGTAAAGACAATAAAAGGGAGCAAAAAATTATATCATAGAGGCTTACCAATTTGAAGAAATGTGATTAGAATTAAAATCATTATTTCAATTTGAGACTGGAAGTAAATTTAATGTTCCAAATGAAGAACATTTTTGATTAATTTTATCATAAGAATTTTGATAGACTCAGGTAATACAAGTCCTTCAAGTAGTCTGCTTCTCGAAGGAAGAATTATGTTGCTTGCTAATGACAGAATATTTTACTTCTTCACAGAGACCTTTCTTTTTCTGACTCCCTCAAAATTGATAGAAAATATACCCAATGCTAATATAAAGTCAGATTTTTGCCTTTTATTTTTTATTTTGGTATATGATTAATATATATATATATATATATATATATATATAAACTCTTCTACTTGAAGATATATTTGTGGTGATTTAATTGAATCTTGATAACTTTTGTTAAAATTGTTCTTTATAAAAAGTATGCATTCAACTTAAGAAATTGCAAAATGTAATTTTTTCCAATAAAAAAAGGTAATGTGTAAACAGTTTAGAAAAGAAAGTCTGTTTTAATTATTTTCATCTGATATATTCTTTTTGTTTACAAATGTTTCGATGGTAGTATTTCTAGCCTGCTGATTGCTGTGAATTTTGGATTGTAGATGTCATTAGTGTGGTATCTTAAAATGTGCAAAATTTTGTTTTTGTAACCCTTTCCGTCACCGCCCCTTCCCCTAAAAAATGCTGTTTTAATTTTTCTAAGATTTTATATTATTCATTTAGAAAAGTTTATGGGCTTTACTTTGTTAATTTAAAAAAAAAAAAAAAAAAAAAAAAAAAAAAAACAGTATTTGCTGTTACTCATATTGCTGTTGATTATAAACTATGATAAAAAAATCCTAATATATTTTAAGATATGCAGTATGTACATTTAACATTTTTCATGTTTTTTGTTGTGCTTTGAGTAAACTAATTTTAATCCTCTTGCAGTTTTTTTTTTTTTTTTTTTTTTTTTTTTTTTTAGTAAATAATTGGTTATATTCAGATGTACTTTAAAGTTTGGGCTTATTAAAAGTATTCAGGTTTTAGAAATATGTTATCATTCATTGCAGCAAATGCTGTAATTTATTTGTGAGGTGAATTTGTGAATATTGGGAATGCTGAATAATAATATTTTTATCCATATATTTGTAACTATAAATATAAATATAGTTTAAAAATTATTATAAAAGTATATGTTAAAAAGGTTGAAGAGAGTTGTGCCAGCTCTCTCAATGGAGACGAGGAAATTGACTTCTGAGTGAAGGTAAGGTAACATGTTGATGCAGTTATGAATTTTAAAAGTATTTTGCATAATATGAACATTAAAATTTTGTAAAATTCAGATCTTATATAGGTGTTAAAATATTTGGTACATTTTTTTCAAATGTAATATGTACCCTCTCTTTTTTTTTTTTTTTTTTTTTGAAGGTGCAAAATAATGCTAAATTCCATGTCTTAAATTTTAAACAAAAATGTGGTAATGTATTATCTTTTGAATTGAAGCAATAAAAAGAAACAAAATTCTATGTATTAAAGCTTCAACATTTTGAAGGAATTGGACTAAAATTAAATTGAAGTACTTCAAATTGAAAAGAAAAATTAAGTACTTCAAATTGAAATTTGGAAGTAAATTTATATGCTCCAAAATGTTTGGTTTGTTTCATTATTGGCAAAGCATGTGAGAGCTATCTATCTGAAATACTCCAAATGAAGAAGCTTATTGGAAAATTTCAATGGATCAGGTAACACAAGTCATTCAAGTATTCTTTTTGTTTCTGCTAAAGGCTGAATAATTTTGGTTTTTGACAAAGACGGACTATTCTTTCTCTGTTTTCCTAAAAATTCAGAGAGAGAGTATCAGTATAAACTAAAGTGAAATTGTTGCTTAATTTTAACTTTGGTATGTATATCCATGCCATTTAATATTTTTTACAAATTTGTAATGATTTAATCAAATCTCAGTAATTATTGTTAAAACTGTTCTTTCTAAAAATTAAAGTAAACATTTCACTGAAGTAGCTCTGAAATATAATTTGTGAAATGTTTTCAGGAAGAATGTGCTTAAAATTATTTTTCTTATGTTTTTTTGGATTTACAATGGTAATGTTTCTGGTTGTCATTGTAGTGTATTTTTGGATAGTAGATGTCATTATGTGGTATCTTAAAATGTGTCAAATATTGCTCATGTAACCATTTCCGTCAAAACTGCCTTTCTGATTTTTCTGTCAAGATTTTGCATTATTCATTGTGAAATGTTTTTGGGTTTTTTTTCTGTTGTTATTTTTTTTAAAAAAAAGAGTTTTTTACTGTATTCATATTGCTGTTGATTATAAACTAAGATAAAAAATGCTAGTGTATTTGACAATGTTCAGAATGCATTTTGTATGTTCTTTTGTTGCATTTTAAATAAATTGATGTTTATCGTCTTGCAGTTTTCTTTTTTCTGAGTAATTAATTGGTTATATTAAGATGCAATTTTTAAATTTCACCTTATTGAAATTTATTCAACTTTTGTAAATCTGTAGTTATTTATTGCAGCAGATGCTGTAATTTATTTGTAAAGCAACTGCTGAATAGTCTTATTTTAAAAACAACTTAAATAGATATTTTTAAATATAAAAATAAATATAATTTTAAAATCAGTGTAAAAACTAGGGTTGCCAACTATTTTGAGTTGTAGTAAAGGACACTGCAAAATATATTTATAGCAATTCTTGTTTTTATTATTTTTGTAAATTATTGAAATACAGTTGTAGAATTGCATGCTCATGTGAATGAACAATTTTTTAAAACTTTGGAAACAATCGAAAAAAATTTTACTTTAGTAATTTTGGTAATAATATGTCGGCTCATTAAACACTAAAGAAAGCGACAGAGTAATTATTAAAATTCGGTTAAAAATTTTTAAGTAAAAAATGTAGGAAATTTTTTTAAAACTAAACTTAATTTTTTAAATTATATTTGCTCTGATTTCGAGCAGATTTAAGAAGATATGCATTATTTGTCCAAGGAATCTTTACTCCTGAGGAACTATGGTTTTCGTTTTGTGATTTTGTGCTGAATCACTCTGAATATCTGTATCACTTTTCAAACTATTGCCACCAAATATTATCGCCCTGTATTATTTGAAGAAATTGAATAATGAAGAATCTGCATAAATGTATGTAGATTTCTCGTATTGTGATAAAACAGCGGTACCTAGAGCCATCAAATTTTGAATGACATAATCTTACTGTGAATATGTGCATCTGGAAGCCCACATTTGAAGTTTGGAATTTGTTTTATTGTCGATTTCGTATTTTGTAAAATTTTAACAAATTATTTCTTAACAAACTCAACGATTTACAAGCGAGTAATGGCGGGGGGGGTGATAAACCTTTTTTATCTCCATCAGAAATTCTTAAGATATGCTCATTTTAAAATTATTTTGCGACATTGCTGTTGAACTGAATTTTAGGTTTAAGTGATATTTAATAAATAAAGATAGCACAAAATCTTTAAAAAATGCCACTTTGGACGATATTTAAAATCTGAAACCTTTCAGATTTTTTTTAATAGTTTTTCGGCAAATTCTGAGCAACTTTCTTTCAAATTAAAATATATATATTTCATTTTTTATAAGCTCAACCAAACACCTTTATTATTCATTTCTCCATTTAGTTTACATGATGCTGGAAATTCTCCCACATTATGCTGATGTTGAGGAACTAAAAGCACAAATTTAAAAATATTCATGCATTTGTAGTCAGCACTTTTTAAAATCATGCAGTTGGCTATTGGATGTGGTAAATGCTCAGAACTTTAAAGTGTTTTTCAATTAGTATTGCTTCATAAAAAAGATCATAAATATATGAATTCAGCTATTCTTTTAACTCTAATAACTTCAAAAAAATTTTTAGTGTATTGAAAGTGAATTATTTAACACTTAGAATTGACAATTTGCTAAATATAGAATTTTTCATTCAAGTGTTCTTCTAAATATATAATTGCTGAAGAAGGAAATAATTTAAAATCATCGATAATTTCTCAAGATTCTGCATTATTTAATGTTCTTCAGATGTTGATAAACTTAAAAGCCACACAATTCCTTGTTATATTGAGATTTAATCTTAATTCTTCAGTTCCTCAAAACATTATCTGCACCAGAAGTTTTTTGCACTTTTGTAGTTCATCAGTAGCTAAAATGTCGAATTTAAAATTTTCCAAGAACAACAAATATTATTTCAGTAATCAGTGTAATTTGTATACGATAACCATCCATTAAAAGCAGAATAATTGTTTAGAACAGTTGGTTTGTTTAAGAAGTAAGAACTTAAAGTTCCCTGACATTAAAATTATTTTAGTCAATGTTTCAAAGAAAACACCATAGTAGCCACATGTCTGAAAATTTCATAGAATTCTGTTCTACAAATAAAAGAAACGCCAGTAGATAGAAAATGGGAGTTCTGATGCAGGAGGATCAGGGGGCGTGGCCAATGACGTCACACAGAGGGCAGGGGGCCAAAGGCAACGTCATCACACTAGGAGGTGTGGTCACGAGTTGAGTTGAGTTGTAGATCTCCGACTTTTCATTTAAAGTTAGTTTTTTTTTAATTGGCAACGGCGTACAATTGCTCATGGCATCCTCTAGGGATGAAAAAAGAAAATAATATATTTTAAAATGCTCATGACGTCCTCTACGTATGAAAAAAGAAAATGATCTATTTTAGAAGTTTCTTTTTTTTTAAAAAAATGTTCTATTATTCAAAATATAGAATTGAACCCTGAAACAAAATATCTCACCAGCTCAGTAGTTTGAAGGATATAACCACTGCGCTGATGTGATACATTCAGATTCAGGTAAAAAAGCCTATATAAGAAAATGGAATTTGAATCGACTCATCAATTGATTCTGATACTATTATCCTTTTTAGTTTTCCATGAAACTTTAACTTATTTCTCAGGTTTTCTGTTCATAATAACATATTAATTTACTGTCATATTTTTTAATACTTAATGTTTCTTATTTATTTGTAATATTTTATTTAATTTCCACATGCTATTTTTTTTCATACTTTCCATAAATTTCAGCATAACCTGATTTTTAACTTATATGTTATATTTCACAAATGTTCCCGCACATGCTGTTTATTTCTTACATTACTTAATTTTAGATGCAATTTCACACTTTTTTTAACGTTATAATGTTCAATATATTCTGAATTTTAACTTCATTTACTTTTTTTAAAACATTCTAGTATTCTATACACACTTAGTGGTTTGAAATTCTATTTAAACAGAAACGTTTATTTTTCGTGATCTTAGTTCTTTTACTAAATTTTCTACAGAATTTCTGATTTCTTTCACGTGTTCAACAATATCTTCCTTCCGAAAATTTTTCCCGTTCAACAATATCTTTCCTACCGAATATTTTTTTAAAAGCTTAACTCTATGACTGTTAATTGCTTTTCTTACGTTCTAATTTAACTTATTTATTATAATGTTTTTATTTCTGTCTCATCACTCCTAATTCAAACATTTTATCCCATTTTATTCATTTTAACGATATGGGTTGTTTCCATTTACTCCATATTCAAATATTTCCTTACAATTTTTAAAATACTTGTTTTATTCTCATGTCATAATAGATCATCTACAGGTTTTACTCAGAAATTTCCATTCAAAACTTTACAGTTTAATACCATTTATATCTAAATGTATTTCTTTCTCATATAGTTTTATGGTCTTCAAAGTTTCTAACATCATCTTTAGTTTTAAATCCCGATGACCTTTAAGTGTGTTGATAATTTTCATTTCTAATTTTACAACCACGTTCAGTGTTTCATCCACACATAACAAAATATTTCTTACATCTTCTGATATTTAGCCTATGTCATATTACAGTACTTCAAATGAATTTATATTGCTCACACTATTATTTTTTCATGTTTTAGAGACACTGACTATAATAATTTTACTATTTTTCCTGCACTAATTGCATCTATGTCAGCACTCATGATAAACTAGCAATTGTTTTGCATCACATGCATAAAGAAATTCTTAAAACCAACTTTTTCAGTATCGTACTCAAATTCTGTTTTCCAAATGAGAATTACCAGTATTCTTTGGTTTTACTCTGTTACATCTTTTTAAATTTTAAAATCTTACTTTTAATTCTAACATACATCTTTTGAACACTTCTTTCTTTTAATGATAGCCTTACCTTATTTGTTCAAATTAATTCTTTAATTCACCTTCTTTACTACCTTTCAGTAACTTCATAATTCACTATGCAAACACAATGTCTTTCACTGACATTCTGTTTGATAATACTACAGGTTTCCTTAATTGACAAAAAGCGAATTGTAGTTCTATTTTGAAATCAGAAATTATATTTTTGCACAAACATTACCTTCATCCATTCAAGACGCCCCTTAACCTGTAACTGACGTAGCGATAGGAAAGGAGACTCTTATCATATTCTCTTTCAACATTTGAGGTTTTTAGAACTTCTTTGTCAAGTATATCAATACCAACAGAAAATATACTTAACATTTTTACCCAGTTTAAAGCAACATACTATTATGGTTTTAGTTAAATTTATAAGACAAATAAACACATTTTGTGCTAAATAGGCATAAACATTTAGATTCAGGATATTTCTTTTTAATCCGATGTAAGACTTGAATTTCATTCATGATACGGATTCTCTCTTGATTTTTTTTGTTTACCTTACACTAATAGAAAATTTTTATTTTACATGTTCAGCTTTTAACGAAATAGAAATAAAAACTACGATACACCTGCTGTTTTTAAAAAAAGGAACTTTGATATATTTCTGGAAATGTAAATGCTTTTAGAGTTTTCTTTCAATAACGCTGATTTTCATTACTTTACTAATTTCAATCATTCTCTTATTAGCTAAAGAAAGATTGTCAAAAATGTGACACAGTATAACTCTTACGAACATACGTACCTTTACCAGCATACACTTTTTAGCGATTGAAACGAAGAAAGATACAGATATTTTACTCCAATCTACATTAAATTTTAAAAATTTTTTTTTAACTTTCATGCATTCCAAAGTACAAACGAAAACTAAATAGATATTGTCATGTTTGTATATATTAGATAAAACTTTTATGAATGATATTTGAAGTAATGCTTAGAACTTCATAAAAGTGAACATTCACTATGCTAATACACATTATCATCAGTTATTTACATTAATCAATGTGATATCATTAATTCATTACATGTACTATATGCATATATATTTAAAGTTTTAATTGTCTTACAGTTGAATAATTAACTATTGAGAGAAAGAGATTCATATATTACACTATTTAATTAACACTGAACAAATTTTCCCATCCCCCACATTAAGCCACGTTTATTAAATTCGTCCAAAGCTCTTTTATTTCTGCATTTTCACACTCACGAATACA